CTGTATTAGGCTGACGATGGTTCTGTCATTAATAAAACCGAACTATAGCTTATTCGATCTACTGTTCAAGAATAATATTCATATTTCATTTATATGTAAGTAACTTACTCATTATACAACTTCGAAGTTTAGTAAAAATTTAACTTTTTGGAAAATGAATTAAATCAGAACTAAAACAATCCTGCAGTCTTTTATCCCACTTATTGAGATATATGTGTGTTTATTGTGTGTTTATATCTAAAATTCATTCAGTAGATAAAAAAACCAACAGCTAAATATGGTCTAGGGATATTCAAAACACTAAGAAATATTTCATGCAGGCTATACAAAACACACCGAAATACGAGTGTCAAAGTACACATTAGTAAGTTATATGTTTGAACATTTTTTTTGAACGATTTCCACTTCATGTCTAAAGGAAAAACTCGTGTCATGTAAGCTTATTAAAAATGAGCTTTACTTTAATCTTTCAAAAAGAGAAGAATATCCTTCAGTTTTGACATGTTTCGGCGATCAATCGCCTTCTGCTTTTAATTTCTTACTATCATGATGAGTTTCTGACTATACAAATTGCGCATTTGGTTTCTTGACATGCAGCAATGAAACTGAAACCACTGCCCCATAAATACAATAAAACAGACAACTAATGAACAAAGTAAGAACTGTTTATTTATAAAACAATTTCTTGAAACTACAAAAACAGCAACTTCGGTTTAGCAAAAAGACCGGACTAAAAGCTCATTTAAGTAATTTCAAACAATTAAAACAAGTTTTTACTAACCTCTAAATCTGAAGAAATACAAACACGGATCAAAGTTGGGCTCCTTAAGTTATGAAAGATTTTTTCAATCTTTTCACCGTCAACAGAGACAGGAATTATAACGCAACACGCCTCTCTGACATTTTATCAACAAAACTGACATGAACTTGGCGACACACAAGGTCTACAAAGCCAATTCCATTTAGAGATACTTTAAAATCTTCCTTGCTAACACAATGAATGTACAAAAGGGCAGAATCTTTAAGCGTTTCAGCTTTACAGTCGACGACGTCGACAAACGAGTCAAAGCTTCCCGCCATTGATCTTCACTCGGCTAAGACCAAAACCAAGTGATGACGTCACATAAAAAAAGATAATATAGTCTGAAACGCAATGCATTGTGGGGTACTACTTGAGCCTCCTCTGATGAAAATGAATTCACATGGGACCATTTTTCATTCATCTTGAATGCGTTCTGGTTCATTGATTCTGACAATTTGTCTCTAAAAAATAGCCACTAGAGCGGATTTCGTATGAGTGGGAAACGGACGGTATTGTACTGTGACCGTAATCGTACTGTAACCAAATTCTAGTGCCCCATTGGTTCACTAAAATTGCGAAGGCCAGGTCCGGTAACGGTGCGGTAACCGTGCGGTAACCGTGCGGTAACGGTGTCCCACTCATACGATGTCCGCTCTATCTTTTAGAGCAAACGCAGGAAAACCATGAAATAATATCAAACTAAATACTAACAAATCGCTCCTATTTAGAGACAAATTGTCAGCATCAATGAACCAGAACGCAATAAAGATGAATGTAAAATGCTCCCATATGGATTCATCTTCATTGTGTTCTGGTTCTTTGATACTGACAAATTATCTCTAAATAGCCGCTATTTGATAGTATTTAGTTTGGTTTAATTTCATGGATTTCCAGGCCTGCCCCGGAACCTTAAATTGCACTAAATCGCCTTAAATAGCATTAAATAACCTTAAATCGCACTAAAACGCACTAAATCGCACTAAATCGCACTAAAACGCACTAAAACGCACTAAAACACATTAAGTATTCTCTAATGGAATTGAAATTTTATATCATAATTAGGTCTGAAGCTCACCATTCATTTATTTTTATATGTAAGAAATGTAAGAAAGGTCCATGTGTCTCAGTAATTATATACTGGGTGATGTACATGTAGACCACAATAAAAATATAAGCATGGACGAGCTTCTTTGATTGACATGTGTAGATAATAGTAGTAATATAATTATATGGTTATTGCACATTTACTGCAACAATGGTGTGAATCATAAATAACTGTGA